GCTCACAGGCATAGATAGCGCAACCTTGGAAGTGCAGCGCAGGCATATTGTCATTCAAGAGATGCGTAGTTCTTTTGGAAAACATGTTTTTCTATTAGCCTATTTACCTCGTTGACGTAAATAATACTCATTACATTGACACATGCATTATTTTTGATTCAAATAATGGTTGTTGGTAATGTATTAGCGACCCACACAGATGTATGATTTCACTGCGTCCGTGGGAGCTCAGACCCCCTGGCTTCAACGCACGCTGCCGTGTGGACGGGCCGTAAGTCTCCATTTTGGGTTTTTCAATCCTTTTTAAACGTACATGAAAACTACTTGCAGTTCATTTTGGAACTTACCAAATCAGCATAAATTGTGACCTTCAGTGGAAACAGCAAACCTGTAAACACAAAGGAAATAAATAAATAAACAAGGTGTATTTAAACCTTTTTTGATGTTTGTTTAAACCATCAAGTTTATTAAATACATCAATAAACTTGAATACATCAAGTTTATTGATGTATTTAATAAACTATGAATGTTTTATATCCATGTAACGGAAAGAAACTCATCTAACTGATCATTTTTTTTTTTTTTTCAAAATAAAACCCACAATGCTAACGCTGAACCTCTGAATTAGCAACGAGCGAAAAATGCTAACAGATTACTGCACCGAAAATCACTCATCATCATTATTATTTATCTTTTCTGCACATCCAACACATCGATTCACATCGTGAGATGACACAGAATAGATGGGTACATACATTATCACTCCATGATACGAACTCGCGACTTTATAAACAAAAACAGACATCAAAACATGTGGCGCTAGGTAGCTAAAAACGCTAACATGGCTTACCTGTCTCGTAGTCTGGTCAAAAGTTGTCTTCAATGGCATTAAAACGATAAAAACGCTGCTGAAGTTAATCTATAGGTTAATCCAATTTGTCTGTGTCCCTTTGAAATGATTTCTGATAATCCATAAGCATTAAAACTGCTTTTCCGTTTCCAGATGTCAGAGCGAGAGATAGGTTCGCTCTGATGCAAAACTGCATGCGCGAAGCCCCCACCTTTTTTTTTACCATGTGTGTGTGTGGGGAAATCTCCCTTCGCTTCTATTGGCTCTAACGGTCAGAAAGAGGTGTCAATCACCAAAATCGAGCAAGGGGGGCCAGAGATATGGAAAATCCACCCAAATGACCCCAGAAGTGGTTTCTTTTTGCTAAATCTCTCTAAAAAGGTCAAATGTCACTTGTTTTGCATCAATCTTGATACAGGGTACTTATTATATGTTGTACTTTGGATTCCTAAAGCTTTTAGTCTACTAACCCATCATCCAAGGGTGGTTTTCTCCATAAGTACAAAATAATTTTTGGACGGACACTATAATTTACAGTTTTTTACTATGTAAAATCTGAATTTTCTTTAAAATAAAAAACATCTATATTGATTCTGACTTTTCTCCATCCAACTCACAGGTTTATCATTACTTTGAGAAAAAAGATTATTAATGTAACCCTTTTAGAAGGGAAGATATGGTCATTTGTTCTGGGAATGTCATTTTCGAGCCTGAGACCTGAAAAACAGGCTCAGGGCTTAACAGGTTAAAAGTGTTTTTGGGTCAGACACTCTCAGACAGTGGGTAGCGGTGTAATGGCGGCTGCAGCAAATCTTGAAGTCACCTTGCTTTGTACGTCACGTGGTCATGTGACATGCTTTGAATTGAAAATAACGATTTAGGTTAAATATTGTTTTTAAGTTATTTCAGGGGGGGGTGTGTTTTGCTTCTGGGCAAACGGAAAAAATCATGTCAAAAACGGAAACCATGATTCTTAATTAGACCAATTAAAAAATGTACTTTGATTAAATTACACAGTCATTGCACTTTTTTCAGTGTATGTGCATGTGGTGTATACTGAGTTTCTGGAAGATGTTTAAAATAATGGATAAGAAGTTATAATTAAAAAAATGTTTTGACTTTCTTAAATATCAGATATTTTCTCAAATTTCTGAACTTTTCTGCAATTTTTAACTTTTTATTTATTTCTGTTTTTTGAAGTGTTTTTGTATTTCAGATGTTTCCAAAAACTCTGTTTCGTTAGAAACATCAAGTTCTTCTGAACTGACATTTAAAGTTTTGCACGGTGTCACATTAAATGTAATCTGTGCAGTTTATTTTAGCTTTATTCCCTGCACCTTTGGAACTTTCACTAACCGTCTATTCTTCATAACGAACATTTAACCCTTTGAATTTGCTTTAATAAGAGTTTAAAACATGTTGATGTTATATCTTTAACATTATTAACACTATGTTTAACCATTTATAAAATGTGCTGCTAAATTAATGTAAACTCTAATTAGAATCAAAGACATCAAACACCCCTGATGATGCAGAATAACTGCCTGATGTTTTATTCACTGTAATATAATATACTGTATTTCTGTGCAGCAGATGAAGCAGTGCTGGGAGGTGAAAGAGAAAGCTGCTTCAGGCGCCATGTTAGAGTCTGCTCACCAGACAGAACAACAAGATGGAGTCTGAGTTCATCCTGTCTTTAGAGACAACAGAGAAACCTTTCAAAATAAAAGTCACACACATTCCTGACTTTTTCTCAAATTTCAGTTTTTCTGCAATTCTTTTTTTTTTTTAATCCTGACGTTTCTTCAAAATGTGTTTTTTTCAAACATTACAGATTTTATCCCAAAATGTCAGAATTGTTCTCATATTTCATTATTTTTTAAATTTCTGACTTTTTCTCAAATTTCGTACTTTTTTCTCATATTTATGATAGATTTCAATTTCTGACATTTTTTTCAATTCCGATTTTTTTGGTAAAATTACAGACTTTTTCTCGTAGAATATCAGTCTCTGAACCTGCATCGCCTGATACGGTTCACATCCGTCTGAACACAGATGACCAACTAGTTATAAAACCTGTGTTACTAGTGGCGTACACAACAAACGTTCTTCATTTATATAAACTTGATCCTTTCCTGATCTGTTGTCTCTCCAAGAATCTGTTCATCATGGATCACAGAGAGAGGAGAGTTTGTGAGCGTCAAACAGTTCTTACATTTATCGTCTTTTCCATGTCAGTCAACTGTAACAGGCGGCTGCTGATCTGATGATAACTGTGAGCCTTCATCAGCGTTAGCTCAGAGCACATGTGAACTCGTCCCTCAGCTGTTATCTGTGATCAGAATCAGACGTCTTTCAGACTTTAGAGGACAAAACGATCGGACAAAACGCTCAAGGAAAGACAGGACTAGATACACAGAAGGGTAATCACAAGAGAAGACACAGCTGGGGAGGGGAGGTGAAACACAGGGGGAGGGGGGGGGGGCAACAGGTGAACGCAATCAGACAATCAGACACAGGAGGGAAACTAAAGACAGGAAGTCAAACACAGGAAGTAGGACCAGACAAGACACAAGGAGGAAAACATTTAAGAGAGAAGTGTAAAATAAACCCATAACCATGACTACAGCCCAATTCCAAACCGCCCCCACCCTACCCCTACACCCTACCCCTCCGTTTGCGTGTTCTCGCGGAGGGTCCGCCACATTAAGGTCTGTTCCAATCACCTGACTTCACCTGCTGCTCCACCTGACCAACTAACATGTGTGTGTCCGTCAGGAAACACTCTGGCCCAATTCCAAACCTCACCCACTCCCCCTCCGTGATGGAGTGAACTCTGTCTGTAGTCTCACTCTCAGCTCAACGAGGCTCCTCCTGTCAGATGGAGAGTGTAAACAGCAAGCTTTGGGACGAACTCCCCTCTCTCCGGCAGAAACAGGAAATGCCATAATACGTAACAACGGTTTCAAATCAGCATCTCTTGGATTCAAAATAACAGAAATATAACTCTAAAAATCTTTTATGGCATATATTTTTGTTATGCATATTTTTGTTGTAAAATCTGATAAGCTGCTTAGTTTTTGCAAAAGTATGTGTAAATATACACAACTTTTACAGATGTCTAGACTAGACATGAGTAAATGATCCTACATTTAAACAAATACGAGGTAACCCTCAAGTTTTTAACATCTGTACGAAGATATTAAATAGCTCTTGTTGTGCATTTGATCAGTGGATGTTTCCAGGGAGCTGTTAGTAAACAGAGTGTTTCCTGACGGACACACACACGTTGGTCAGTCAGGTGGAGCAGCAGGTGAAGTCAGGTGATGCAGACTCTGTTTGAGGGCTTGATAGCCCACTACTCCTCAACACTTGTTGGATTGGAACAGCACTTAATGTGGAGGACCCTCCGCACGAACGCGCAAACGGAGGGGTGGGGTGTAGGGTATAGGGTGTACGGGGTGGTTTGGAATTGGGCCTCTGTGTGTCAAGGGGAAACACTCCGTGTGCAAATAGTTCCTGCAAACATTAACTGATAAACTGCACAACAAGATAGACATTACATATCGTTATACAGATGTTAACACCTTCATGTTACCTCGTATTGTTTTTAACTCAGGATCATACCTGTGTTTAGTCTAGAAAACATTCATTGTGTGCATTTTATTATAAAGTTGTGTATATTTGCAGGGACTGTTGCAAAAACTAAGCAGCTTATTAACATCAGATTTTAAACACCATTAAAGATTTTTTGAGTTTTATTTGATTTATTTTTAATCCAAGAGATGCTGATTTGAAACCGTTGTTACGTATTACGGCATTTCCTGTTTCTGCTGGAGAGAGGGGAGTTTGTTCTAAATCTTGTTTTTCTACCCTCCATCTGAGAGAAGGAGCCTCTTTAATCTGAGAGACGACAGACGGAGTTCACTCTGTCAGGGAGGGGGAGGGGGTAGGGTGGGGCTTGGAATTGGGCCAGTGACTTTTATTAAAAGGGATCACTTAAATGAAAAGGGTTAAAAAAATCTGTAATAAAATGATGAATTTGTTTATTTAAATTGGCCTACATTATAATGTTATCTAATTCAGTCATAAACAAGTTTTATTTTTATTTGAGTATTATGGTACTTTCTGTGTGGTGCTTTTATTTTGAAGGTGAGGATATAAAAGCACTCCCTCAGAGAGAGCGCAGTTCAGACGAGACATCGAGGGGGATCCTGATTATTGTCACAGGTGAGTGTCCTTTGTATAGATAATATTAAACTTGCTCAACTTAAATACGTGATCAATGGAAATACTGGTCTTTAGTTTAAATACATTGTTCTGCTAATTTAACTCCAGGTTATTAGGTCATAGTCAGTGTATTGTTTACTTTCGGTTTTGAGAAATGACCACAAACTGCGATTTGATGTTGAAATGGAGGAAACAGCTGAACGTGTGACGTTAATAAAGTGTAATCTTCTGAAGGTAAATCATGAACAGAATAAAGTTTAACGCCGTCGACACACACGGACGTTCAGTCAGAAATATAGAGATGGGTTGGGTCTTTTAAAAAAATAATAACTGATTCAGTAGGAGTTCAAAATAAATCAAAGTTCAGATTTAATAATAAGACTTTAATTACTGAGTGTGTGGAGAAATATGATAAAATAATTAAAGTCAGAAATGATGTTCAAACTATAACTACCTTTAAACTGAGGGATGACAGGGAATAACTGAATGCAGATGTCATCATGGCCGTGGGAAGTAGGGGTGCTGAGGGTGCTGCAGCACCCCCTGATGGAAGACAGGGAATCTGCACGTCCACAAGATTAAATGGAAATATAATACAAATATAGGCCTGTCGCGATAATCGATAAATTGACTTATCGTACGATAAAAGAATACTTGTGAGGAAATTATGAAAATGACTTATTTAAATGTTTCAGAATTATGTGTGTGTGTGTGTGTGTGTGTGTGTGTGTGTGTGTGTGTGTGTGTGTGTGTGTGTGTGTGTGTGTGTGTGTGTGTGTGTGTGTGTGTGTGTGTGTGTGTGTGTGTGTGTGTGTGTGTGTGTGTGTGTGTGTGTGTGTGTGTGTGTGTGTGTGTGTGTGTGTGTGTGTGTGTGTGTGTGTGTGTGTGGGGGGGAATATGAAAGAGAAAGCGTTTTGTTACCGAAGACAAACTTCACTTTCTGTATTTTTTTGTGAATAACAGAGTAAAGAGCGTTTTGCTTGTTCGAAGCTTGATTTGAACTTTTACTGTTTTTAAATCTGATTGGATAATATCCAACCAATGAGACGTTTGTTTGACTTCCTCTTATCATTATGTAAGATCAGTAAAATGGCAGAGCAGTGATAAGATGAAATCAGATCACCTTACAGAAACAACATGGGTGTGCTGCCAACAGCCACACCTATGCAGACCTTATTTACAGTCCACACACACACACACACACACACACACACACACACACACACACACACACACACATGTAACAGATGTAAATATGCAGTGGGGTTTATTTAATTTAATTTTGTATAATCACACAAATTCTGTGTTTTATATTATTTTATTCTGTGTTCTTCATTTTATTGAATGTTAAATACCTGGCAAGGTCGGAGATCAGTGGGCGGAGCCTCTGAAGTGTGGTCGCTGTGCTCAGGAGTTCATTGTTGTGAGGACTTTGCCCCCTATATATTGTGTCCCTCGCGTTTCCTCTGCCCTTTTTGTAAACGTTCCACGTGAGAGGAGTCACTGAGGGAAACTGATGTAAAACTGATCGTTTTTATCTGTCAGTCATTAAACAGATCGTCTCAACTTTACGCTGGCTCGGGTCTCGTCCATTATCAACACAACGCAGAGACCGCTTAACCACACCGGTTACACTTGGTGCCGTTTGACCCGTTGCATCCCCGATCGGCGCTCGTCTGATCTGCCGGGAGAGAGCTGCAGACTCCCGTCTTCTCCCTCCCTCCTCCCCACTCTGTGGACTCCTTGAACAGCGCTCGTGCCCGAGCGCGGGAGGTGTGTCTATTGTGACGAGGGATTAGAGTGTGTTTTTATTTAATTTTGTTCTCTCTATCCCTCAGTCCATTTTGTTTTCTTATGCTTGCAAGGCTATGGTGGCCTGAGAGTGCATTTAGGGGTTACTTTTGGCATGGAAAAAAGGGTACATTTTTGAAAACGTGTATGTAGAGCAGTGGTTCCCAAACTTTTTGGGCCCAAGGCACACCAAAGGACAAAAAAAAATCTCAAGGCACACCTATTTTGCAAAATAGCCCGTATAACACGTGTTATCACTCATATCATGTAAAATATCTGTAAATGTGCATAATTATTTACTAATGCCAAATAAAATGTGACAAAGACAACTATATTACTCATGAAATATTTATTAACGAAATATTTCAATTAATTTGAAACTTTATCAAATTAGGCTTCATCAAAGCAGCAACACACTCATTTAAACCAGACAGGTCACACAATAAAAAATGAGGCAAAGGAAACTCAGCAGAAATTCAGCACAGACAACTGTCAATGCAAGGAAGCTGCACTGTCCATGGTCCTGAACTACAAATTATAAATATAACATTTCAGCAATCATGTGCTATTGTAAATATTTTTGCCGACTTACAAATTAGTGAGATACATGTGCCTGTCGGGGCGCGCAGATTTTTTAAATCCTTGGTGGCACTGAGGAGAGGGCCACTCGCAAGTCCTGTTCAACAGAGAGCCGTGACCTCCTGTTGTTCTTCATGTAAACCAGAGTAGAGAACGCCAACTCACACAGGTAGGTCGTGGGAAAAATAAGAAGTTGCTCAATCGCGTGGTGGGAGATGCTTGGGTACTCCGATGCAGAAGCCAACCAAAACTGATCCAGTGGGAGCTCACTAAATTTGAGTTTCAGTGTGCGGTCCACACGGAGCTCTGCGCACTCCTCTCTCTCTTTCATAGTGAGCTTTTCTGATGAGAGTTCCGGGTGGAATGGGTCCCGGATCCAGTCATAGTCCTCGATGTCAGCCACATGTGGAAAATAGCGGTCAAACCAGAGTTCCCGTTAGAATATTTTTTTGCCGGTCAACATGTCCGTTAAAGTTGAAATCTTCCGGACAAAATTAGATAAGTGCCGGTTAAAGGTCTTCTTTGTTATTTATTGAGCTTTAAAACAAATTGATATGATTCGACATTAAACAAACTAATTATAGTAGATTAACTACATTATTCAAAAGTGTACAGTAATTTACAAAAACGCGGGAATAATAAACGGAGCGCTCTCTCCTTCTCCTGACAGCCCGTCAGTATCATGCAGCTCGCGGATCCAGTAATGAGTGACCCGACAGTAAAACTAAACATATCTATAACTAGTTTAGGTAGTTTGAGAGGTAATTAAAATAGCTACGTGTGATTTTCTAACCTGAAGTGTGTTTTGCTCTGCTCGCCGCTGCAGGGGATCATGCAGAGCTGCGTGTCGACTCGTCAGCAGCAGCCGATCTCTCTCTCCTGTCAGATTAGACTTTACTCGCATTTATGTCCATATCGATCAGATCTAGCTAGTTCTAGCTAATGATATGACTACCTGCTTGTTAAAAGACACCTAAACAATAAGCGTCGCTATGCAACCGGATGAGGCCACAAAGTATAGCGCAGCATTATGCATTTGTTTACATGCCCACCGGAACCCCGAGGCATTACCAACAGATCAACGCACAATCAACCCATACAGGACATCTCTTTCTCCACATTAAGTGTTAGACATTAGAATTGACAATTTTTGTCTGTCACATACTCTTTTGTCTGTCACATACTATTCTTGTCTGTCACATAAGTGGCGCAACTGATGCGGTATTGCGCTAAGGGAAAATTATTTTGACCGGACATTTTGACCGGAGAGATTTAGATTTGCCGGACTTCAGCATATTTTACCGGTCATTGTCCGGTAATTACCGGCTAACGGGAACTCTGGGTCAAACCTCTCTTTTAAGGTCTGAAGGTGTTCGGCATATACAGCGCGCTCCCTTGCTGCCAGCGGGAACATGTCCATGGAGCCCTGTTCCAAAGCCTCGCGCCACAGGATAAGTTTGCCCATAAACCCCCGAATCTTGTCTGTGGATGATAAAATGTTTTCATTCCTGCCCTGAAGCTTGGCGTTTAACTCGTTGAGATGCCCAAATATGTCAGCGAGGTAAGCCAGCCTGGCGCACCACCTCTCATCCGCGAGCTTGGGACAGCGTGTTCACGTGAAAAATCCAAAAGCTCTTCCCGAAGCTCATAAAGACGGGATAGGACTTTCCCCCGTGACAGCCAACGTACCTCTGTGTGGAGGATCAGGCTTTGGTGGTCGGCTCCCATCTCGGCGCACAGCTGGGAGAAGAGGCGAGATTTCAGGGGCCTTGATTTTATGTAATTCACCATCTGCACAGCCTGATTCAGCACCTCAGTCAACTCCAGGGGCATGGTTTTGGCAACTAATGCCTCTCTATGCAAAATGCAGTGGTTTGTGACGATATGTGGGTTTTGTGCTCTCACCTTAGCAATAAATCCTTTCACTCTCCCCGTCATGCTTGCCGCACTATCTGTGCAAATACTGACGCACATATTCCAGGTCAGACTGTTCTCTTTTAAATAGTTATGAGTTACCCTGAATATTTCTTCTCCCGTAGTATGGCTTTCCATTTCTTTGCAGAAGAAAAACGTCTCTTTGATAGAGACAGCATCAACATATCTGACGTTTGCCAGAAGTTGGGCAGCCCCACTTATGTCTGTCGATTCGTCTATTTGTAGGGAAAATCTGCCGCTCGCCTGCAGTTTCTCTGTCAATTGTTGCTCAATGTCTTCTGACATGTCGTCGATTGTTCTTTTGATGGTATTATCAGACGACGGCACTTTGGATAGCTCATTTGCGGCATCTGGACCCAGCATGATACCTACAATTTTTTTGCAAGCGGGGAGGATGAGTGTCTCCGCTATTGTGTGAGGTTTCTTCTGCTTTGCAATGAGCTCCGCTAGCATGTAACTAGCCTCCATTGCCTTTTCAGACACTTTCACACAATCCAACAAACGGTCTTGCTGCCTCTGGTTCAGATCCCGCGCTCTTATGAAGTAGGCCAAGTTTCTCTGAACATGGAAGGGATGTTTGGTTTCCAAGTGCCTCTTCAGCTTGCTTGGAACCATGTTCGCATTAGCTAACTTCTCCCGACAGACGACGCACTCGGGTTGAGGATTGTTGCCATCCCCGGTCCAACTGAAGCCAT